CACATCTTCCCATAACAAAATGGCAGCCACCTCACTGCTGTCACAACATCCTTTTCAATTTCTGACCAGACATCTAGACTGCCCAACTGCTTATAATATAGTCACATAACGAAATCAAATAGATGGATTTATTGATTATTTGGCAATTGATTCAGAAACAATTAAGTCAGTCCTGGGGACTTGGCTCCAGACCCACGGCTGTCCGGCAGTGATCTTACTGCTCCCACAAGCAGCAGGAACCTCATCCCCCCACCCTCTGGCCCTAGAAGCCCCTCCTCCCCTCAGGGGCAGGCAAGGACCCTCAGAGGAGGTTTGCAGGGCACAGCCATAGGGCAGAGATGAGAGGTGCCTCCTCCCACTGACTATCTGCACAGGCTGCCATCAAGCTTCCTTCTGGGCCAGAAGGCTGTGGGACAGTTGGCTCAGGGAAGTGTGCTGGCCCAGGAGACAAGGCTGGAGAGGAAAGGAAGTGGGAATCTCAGGATCCAAAAACTTGCACCTTCCATAAAATCCTCACGCATCTCTGCATTTGGGCTCCAGGAGGGAGCACTGGGCTCATTGGGCTTGGAGAAAACAGCGCGAGGTGGCCCCAAGAGCTCTTTTCAACTCCTAAGGTCTTTGGGGCAGTGCCCACCCACTCCCCTGCCTTATCCCATCTGCTTTTGCAAACAGAAAGTGGGTAAGGGGATATCAAGAGGGAGTCATGTTAGAGTTGGACATGACAAGGAGCTTCTTGTTCTTGAGGGTATTTCCATGACAAGACAGAAAGCCACAGGACAGAGTGGAACGCTCCTCTCACAGATGTTCTTTACCACATCAAAAAATACAACCTGCCATTGGGTGTGACCTTCCTGGAAGCCAGGGCTGAGACCAGCAGGGCCATTTCACACTTTGCTTCTTGGCCCTGAAAGGCTACTCATTGACATGTGGGCCACCCTGAGATGACACCCAGAGGGCTGGGACAGGTTTGGATTAAGTCCCAAAGCTGTGTCTGTTTATTAGTCTGTTTTCTGTCACTTATAACAATACCTGAAACTGGGCAATTTATAAAGAAAAATCTATTTCTTACAATTATGGAGAGTGTGAAGTCCAAGTTCCAGGAGGTCCATCTGGTGAGAGTCTTCTTTGTGGTGGGGACTCTCTACAGAGTCCTGCAGTAGCACAGAGAATTACATAGCAAGGGAGTCTGAGCTAACAAATTTCTTCCTCTCCTTATAAAGCCACCAGTCTACTCGCATGATAACCCCTTAATCCATTAACCCATTAATCCGTGAATGGATTAATCTATTCATGAAGCCATAGTCCTCATGATCCAATCACCTCTTAAAGGCCCCATCTTTCAAATACCATAATCACAGCATGATAACCCCTTAATCCATTAACCCATTAATCCGTGAATGGATTAATCTATTCATGAGGCCATAGTCCTCATGATCCAATCACCTCTTAAAGGCCCCATCTTTCAAATACCATAATCACATTTTCCTCCCTCTCGCTTCTGTTACAATGGGGATTAAGTTTCAAATGAGCCTTGGAGGGGACAAACATTCAGACCATATCAGTCTGTATCAGGCCAGAGGGGTCAACTCAACTAGTACCTGTCTCAAGTTCAATTTCAGTGGAAGGTGCAGCAAGGCCCACCTGGCATCAGGGCGAGAGAGGAGGAACCACTTAGTGGTGAGAAGGTGGGACTAGCCTGGGTGGGCCTTGGGCTCTGGCTTTAGGAAAATTTATCTGCTTTTTAATTTCTCAGGGCTGCAAGTAAATATCGTACAACTAAAATGAGTGTCTCCAAGCCAAACGAGGGGAGTCCCTGATAGAGCTGTCAGTCCACTGTGGAGCCCATCCAGTTCACAGCGTGCCTGACAGACAGCTGGACCAGCCCTGGACAGCCCACAGTGACTGATGAAAAGGGACAGCTGAGCAGTTAGTAACCACCACTCCACATGTGGTGCTTTGTCGCAGGGAACCAGGGTTTCAGAGCATAACTGCCTTCTAACTCTGTGAGAAAGGGTCAAGGCACTATAAGCTCATGCCCTGTGCATTTTGACACTTATATTTGGGACTGTTACACAATACGAAGAGCAAATACCAGAAAAATTAATTTGTATGCAGGCAGCTATTACAAAGAACTCCTAAATATACCAACCTCTACCTGATTATGAAATATTCTTCCCATTTTCCAGATGAGAATGGTGAGGCTGGGAGGTTAAATAATCATTCAGACACGTCAGAGGTATGGAGGCCGATTAAGGACCCTATGTCTGTTGGGGATTTTGTTGTTGTTTTGAATATCAGTACTGCCTCAAAAATCCCTCTAGAGAAAAGGCCAGTAACGTGTTTAACTTGTTAACACTTGTAGTGGATTGAATTATGTCCCCCCAGAACTCATTGGAGCTTGAACTGTGCTCCCCAAGTTTTATGTATTAGAAACTTAGCCCCAACTGTGACTGTTAAGAGGGTGGGAAATCCTATTATGGTAGTTGAAGGGTTGGGCCTTGAAGAGGTGATTGGATTGTAGGACTGTGCAGTAGTGAATAGATTAAAAATGGTGGTCAGGGGTGTGGGTCCAAGGGCTTTAAAAGAGGAGAATCTCCTTCCCCCTACCCGACCCTACCCTCCCCCACCCCCTCCCCTACCTTCCCCTCCCTCTCCCTCTCCCTCTCCTCTCTCTGCTTCCACCATCTTGCAATGTGAGACCCCTGGGTCACTGTTGCCACCACCAGATGGACTTTGGACTTCCCAGCCTCAGAAAGTGTAAACAATAAATTTCATTTTCTTCTAAATTATCCATTTCAGGTATTTCTGTTATAGCAATACAAAACATACTAATAGAGTACTTAATGTCAGAAAGGGGACGCAAAGGAGCAAATGGAAACCTTGATGCTATTTCAAAACCATTTCCATTTTACAAAGCCAAGGAACACTCAAGGCAAGGGTAGTTCCCCTCCTTTGGGGACACAGAGTTATTCTGGACCCCGAGGGGATCTGAAAGATTTGAAGGGCCTCACAGAGCTCCAGCAGGGGTTGGTTATGCACGTAGAAGCTCAACACCTCAGGATGGGACCTAACTCAGATTCACAAGTACTGGCCACCTGGAAGATGGCTTTATAGGGGGACAGAGCCCAACAGATCAGCTGAACTGTGGGTTATTCTAGGCCGGCCATTAATGGCCACTGTCCTCGTCACTCACCAGGAGTATGTCACAGGACCCACTACAGAAGGAGGTCAAGGAAGAGATGAGGGTGGGAGGTGTCACCAAGAAAAATGGCTTCTCTCCAAGAGGTGGGTTAGGACAGGCTGAATCAGCCAGGGGCCCCACGAGCAAGAATGCTGAACGCAATTTCCCCCGGACCATGACTTGACCTGGCCACCTCCACAGGTTTGGGGGTAGAAGATGGCAGCTTTGGGCTCTCCCTAAGTGGTTCCCTTCAAGGCAAGGAGCGTCAAAGACTCAGCTAGAACTCTCTGCAATGGGAACAATGACTTTGTTAACCACTGACTACAGTGGCAGGTGCCCACCCCTGCCAGGTGCCTGAGCACATAGTCAGTAGTGGGAGGGGCTCCCTGACGGCCCTGGACATGCAAAGGCCCCGGTGAATAGTATGGTCAGTCCCTCTGTGACCAGGGGTCCCACACATCCATCTGGCCTTATAAAGTGGCCACGTCCTGAAATGCAGTAACATGTTAAACCAAAATTCAAACGTCTGAAGGGAAACCAGCCCTTTGGAAGAGTTCAGAATTAAAACAACATATGGAAAAAGAAGTCATTTTGTAATATGAACAAACATTCCCTAATTTACCCATTTTATGTACCCAGGGGTTTGTGAATTATATGTTCTTAGAATGATGCACACCTGGGTACTCTTAACTGTAAAATAAAAGAAGGGTGAAGCGTTAAGATTAAAAAGAAAAAAAGCCATTCTTCTAAAGTCTAATTATGAACTATTGAAAGTGGGGATTGAGGGGTGGGTGGAATTTTGCTAAGAGTGAGTTACTGGTCACTACGGGAGATGATGAAAGGAGCCCCGAGCTCACCCTGCAGCGTGGGGCATGTGCGTGCGTGTGTGTTTGTGAATGTGTATCTGTGTAAAAACGCTTCTGTGTATGCGAGAGTGTGTGTTTGTAACAGTGCTGGTATGTGTGTGTGCATGTGCGTGTGTTGTGTCTGTCTGAGGAGCGAAGGGCTCAGGCATACATTCAACTCCTCAAGGCAGACTTGTAGACTGGAAATTATCTAATTGACACCAGTCATCTCTAAAAGTCCTTTCCTGGGCTAAATTCTATCATCCCATCCCCGCTTGCTGGGCAGCATCCCGAAAGACAAGCTGTGATGCTCGTGTGTTCTCTTCCAGCCTGCTTTTGGAGATTCTGTGTTCGGAAGTAAAGCTATTTTTTGTTCAAATTGTTGGGCCTTTTGGGCGACTAGAAGTGAGAATGGAGTCCTCTCCATCCAGAGACGCCTTCCCACAATCAGCCTCAAAAGAGGGATTCATTCCGTATTTGTCCATATTTGCATTTTGTATGGTATATTTTGAAGAACAAATGTATTTTGCTTTAAAAACCACAAGGTAATAAAGATCTCAAACCAGTATAACAGCCCTGGAATATTTCTCACCTGCCCACACACATGTAGTTTTTTGGAGACTACAGAGGGGGTGCGGGACGGGCTGGGAGCAAGGCACAGGGCTGGGAAAGGCTGCCTGCAACCTGCCCCCGTTCACTTTTCAACAGCCACGTGTAAAAGTGGAACGGCCTGCAGGGCCTCTCTTTCAGTCACCTGGACAAGGACAGCTTACAGCTGTCTTTTCGTACCTCTTTAAGGCTCCATTAAATGTTTTGCGGTTCACAGTTCAAATATGGAAGATCTCTAATTCAAATACCTGGCTCGCATTTGCTCACACCGTCTTAAAGGAAGCCCGTACTGTTCATTTTATTTCTTTAAATCTAAGTGGGAAATGCAAAATTTTTAAAAGTAAAAAATAAGGAGATTGGCTCCATTTAACATTTTTATAATTTGTTTAATTTTTAAGGCACACAGTTTATGTAGATCATTTTAACATCTAAAAATACAAAGTTAACACAAGTAACGTCTGACTTATTTACCAAGTTTAAATGTGACATTATAAAACTAGACTAAAATTCTGACTTCTAAACAGATATGAAACAATGTGGACACTGGTGACACTAGACACGACCTCTAAAAATGTGTGATTGTGGAAAAAGGAAGACTGCCAGGGTAAAACCATTGCATCCAGCGAGCGGGAAAGGAAAGTGGCCACTATATTAAAGCCTTTGTTTCCTTTACTAGACACTTTTCACCAAATCCCAGGATGGTTACTGTTAATGCATTTTACTCTCCTTCAAATGAGATGTGCAAATGAAAAATGAGCATTTTAACATCAACCACACGCCACACCCAACTCTACAAGAAGGCTTTTCTGTAAGATGTGTGTGAATGTCAGAGCACCACAGTCTGAGAGGCTACACTCCAGTCCTGTGAGGTGTGAGGTCCTGATGGACATCTAAACAGCCACGCATTTTCTCTTCTGCGCCTGGGATTAGAGCTCAGCAACCCAGCCCACAGACAAAGCTGTGAGGGGAGGCTGGGTACAGGGGTGGTGCAGAAAAAGCCACAGATAAACCAGAAACTCTTTTGCGTCAATACTTTCCACTTCCTCCCTAACTTGGTCATTTACCAGAACTGTCCAAGAGTAGTCACCATGAATTTAATCTCCCCAGATTTTCCCTGCCTGATCTCTACATGAAGCTATGAAGGGCAGAGACACAAGAGCAGCCCGGTGGGCCCCACACTATACCACCGTCACTGCAGTGCAGTGCTGGGTCTTAGAAGGACTCAAAGTGTGCATGGCTCGCATTTCAGCACCAGGCAGGGTGATTCTCCAAGTTGCGGCTGATATTAAGAGTCTGTGAGAGGGGAGGGGGCAAGAGAAGGAAAGGAAGCTGGAACCAAAGACACAGAGAAGCACTCTCCTCCTTTGCCTTTTCTGGAATCAGAGGTTTCTGCTGGTCCCTGCAGGCCTATGAACTGTACAATCTCCCACCTCTTTAAATCCTGATTTCGAGCATCCTTTCTAGCTCTGCAGCACCAAATCTTTTTGTTTGTTCTAGGACCTCTATAGATAATCATCAAGGCACTACCAAGAGGTCCCCTTACCAGTCCTTTGAAATAAACATGATACCATATATGAATGAAATAGTGTGTGGTGTGAATGTGTGTGTCTGAGAGACCGAAGAGTTGGAAAATGTTCACCAATAAGCTACCTAAGTGGAGTGAAATTTAAGGTGATTTTTTGATTTCCTTCTTTATGCTTTCTGATACCTTTTTAAATATTAAAACAGGCATGTATTATTTTGTAATTATAAAAATAGTACTTTCATTTTGAAAAAATTTAAACTAATATTTTAGAGGAGAAAAATAAGCTATATGTGATTATGAAAACTATCAGACAGACCAATTTATTTAAAATGGAAGGAATTGAACCCAAACTTAATTTGCTTTGAAACTGAGACTGCAAAATACATGCCCTAAATATCATAGATTACAATGTCAATGAATGTCAATGATATAAATTAACATAACATAAACTAGATAATTGGTGTGTATAACAGACACTGGAATATTCCATACGCAAGAGATTTGACAAATTACAAGACCATAGCTTTGAATGAAAAGCCATGGGCATTATTTTGCAAAGAATGGATGGTCTTTGGAGGGAAATTCATAGAACATACTCTTTTTGTAGCCTAGCTCATTCAACTGAGAAATAAGACAGAAAACACCCCAGCTTCACTTCATTCTTTTTGCAACATCTGAATATGCGTGTTCAATCTCCTGGTCAGCTGGACATGTGTTTGTGAACTCATCCCTAGCATAGGCGTTGTTCAAGTATCTCCAGATGCCAGTCATTTCAGAAGGAAATTCAAAATCTCTGTATTTCTTGGCCACGATCTGAAAATGAAGAGGAGATGATCAGTAAAGGGAAAACCCACTAACGTAGGCAATCACGTCAGACAACCCATTCTTTGAGGCATGTACTATATTCTCATTCTCAACTCCTGATGTAATTCTACAGTCATTCGGACTCCCCATGGTGGCATTTTAACTTTGCATAGGGGCAACTCAGGAACAGGAAAGGGCAGACACAAATTCTTACCTTCACGGGCATAGCAGATGGAAGGAAAGGGCAACTGAGAGAGAGCATCATGAAAAACACAGTGGTGTAGGGCCACAAAACACACTTGGGAGAGTGTGGTGCTGATAACACCAAGGCCACGGGTTTGGATCCCTATATAGGGATGGCCGGTTAGCTCACTTGGGAGAGCGTGGTGCTGACAACACCAAGTCAAGTGTTAAGATCCACTTACCGGTCATCTTTTAGAAAACAAACAAACAAACAAAAACAAACAAACAAAACATGATGGCATGAGATATCTCCTCTGGCTGCAGAGGTACAGCTGGAAAATTAGTCACAAAGCAGGGTGCATAACACTGGGGACTGTGTCAGTTTGCCAAAGTACCACAAATTGGGTGGCTTAGGAGAACAGAAATTTATTCTCTCACTGTCCCAGAAGCCAAAAATCCAAAATCAAGGTGTCATCAGGGCCATGCTCCCTCTGAAGGCTCTAGGGGAGGATCTGCTACAGGCTTCTCTCCTAGCTTCTGGTAGTTCCTTGGTTAGTGGCTCAAATCCTTACATGGTGTTCTCCCTGCATCTCTGTCTCTGTATCCAAATTTCCCCTTTCTTGCAAGGACACCAGTCATATTGGATTAGGTCCACCTTATGCCAATATGACTTCATCTTAACTAATTACATCTGCAATGACACTGCTTCCAAATTTGGTTAGATTCTGTACCTCAACATATGAGTTGGGGAGGCAGTGGACACAGTTCAATCTGCAATAGGAACCTAGGGCTGCAAAGGCCAGTTCTGCCTTGTTGCCCCATCCCACTGATTCCTGGGAGGTCTGAATGAAATGAGCATGGTTTAACACAGATTGGAAGACTGTTGGGACTTATTTCTCAGATTTTGGAATCCAGCACAGCCATTGATGCAGTGTGGCAGCAGAACAGGACCATGTAACTTCCAGAAAGCTTCCTAAACTGTTCATCACCTTTGACTTGAATTCAAACCTACTGATGTCAGGCCGGCCCGTGGCTCACTCGGGAGAGTGCGGTGCTGATAACGCCAAGGCCACGGGTTCGGATCCCATATAGGGATGGCCGGTTTGCTCACTGGCTGAGCATGGTGCTGACAAACCTACTGATGTTGATGTTAAGAATTCTGCTTTTCTTTTGTTCACATTTGCCTGATTTTTCTTTGCCCATTTTTTAATTTGAACTTCTCTGAGTACATTTGTTAAGCGTATGTCTCTTATCGACAGAATCATGTTTATATTATATTTTCTGGATTTAATACTTGTCTTGTTTTCTGTCTTTCTGTGTGTATGTGTGTGTACATGTGTGTGTTCCCCTTTCAGGTAACTTAGAAGATTTATAGTCTGTTTTAACTTTTCTAGTGGTTTCTTAGAAAATTTTAAATAATAGGAATTCTCAATTTCGTCATTTATCAACTTCAGGTGCAGTCTATCAACTCCGATGATATTAAATGAGGAAATTCATGTATCTCCACTTGTCTCCATTCCTCCTCCCTTACCCCCCTTCCGATGGTTGTAGCAACATCCAGGCTGACTGTACTCTCTGTTCTGTCCTTATAAATCCCACCGTTATTTTGTCTTAGTGCTAGTTTTCTATTTAAATCGGTTCTCTGTTTATCACCCGTCCTTTTATATCACACACCTTCTCTGTTTCCAGATTTTTATTTTTATTATCGTTTTATTATATAGAAATCTTATTTCTAAAAAATGGCTCAGGAGTTGTTATTTTACTGTGACCAGAAGTCTAAGTAAAAACAACAATTTTCCCAGATATAATATCCTACATCACACATCCTTTCCCTTAATTTTCTGTAGATGCTAAACCACTCTCTTCTGATTCTTAATGTGATCATAAAGACACCGGAGGCTACTCTGAATTTCTTCCCTATGTAGGTGGCTTTACTATTTATTTACTATTGTTATTATTACTACCGCTGTTGTTATTATTATTGTCCGGATGCCCAAAGGGTTCTTTTTGATTCTCAAAGCTCAGCACGTGAAAAGTTTAAATGTGTCCCGGTGTGTTGAGCGTTGTGGGGCAATGTTCTCTCAAACGTGGCACGTCATTTACACTGAAGGTTCAAGTCACTATTTAGTTCAACATAACTCTCCCCTTGGACCTCCCTCTTTTCTTCCTTTTCCTTTCCTGTCCTCACGTTCCTGATTATGAACATCTACAATCTCTGTGGTCATTTCTTTGCTCTTTCCCATTTGATTTTGGCTGATTTTCTCAGGCCTAGCCTCCAAACCCCTGACTGACTTCTGCAATGCCTTTTTCTGCTTCTTGCTACTTCTAACCGAACTTTCATTTCTGCAATTATTTCACTTATCTTCACTTGTTTCTTGGGCTCTGCCACCCTGATTTCCATCCTCTTTGTGATGTTCTTACTTTTTGATATCTTGTGTCTTGTCTTTGAGATTTTTCTCAAAAAGTCCGTGTTCTCTTTCATTCCTTTGAGGCCATAGAAAAGTTCCTGAGTGGAATGTTCTTCAGTTTACTGGAGCAGTTCTTCATCACATGCATATTTCTCATCTGCTTTTTTTTTTTTTTTTTAATCTTTTTTTTTCCACTCCCCCTTTTGATCATCTTTACCTACACAGAGGTCTCCCTTGGATTCTTTCTGGGTAGTTAGTCATCTTTTAATGAAGCTGATTTATTGAACCCACCATTAGCTTAAAATTAATGTAATGAGCAAAGGGAGTGAGATGGGGCAGGAGGCAGATTGATTTGGATATTTACTCTCAAGTATCCTCTTAATGAACGCTGCCCCAGGGCCACATTAGTGTTAGTGTTAGTGTTAGGGTTGGGTTTCAGGTTAGGGTTGGGGTTAGGGTTGGGGTTGGGGTAGGGGTTAGGGTTTGGTTTGGGTTGGGGATGAAGTTAGGGTTAGGGTTAGGGTTGGGTTTGGGTTAGGGTTAGGGCATCCTCCACTCTGAGCCTCACACATTATGTAGAAGTTCACCATGG